AATAAAGATGAAGGAACGTTCACAGGATCAACCACCTGGTCAGTCGTTCTCCTACCCACGTCCTGAAGGTACCTTCGGGTAGCGCGCACATACACCCCTCAGTTCCCGTAGACATCTTGTATTCTACGATTTTTTTTGCATCTTGAAACAATAGAACAAAAATCAGAAGACTAACTCTCTCTCTCTCTCTCTCCATCTTTCGAGATGCTTTTCAATTCTCCTATTTACATCTGTCAACTGCAAAAGTTCTCAATAAGCAGTGATAGTTTTGATGAAATGGAGGAAAAATTAACTGGGTGAACTACCGAACTCATAACGGGAAACCAAATCTACACCTGATTATCATGGATAATCATTTTGTATGACTGAATGATGTACTGCAGAGTATATTTCCAAGTAGTTATTCATCTTACGGATAAGAACAGTTCCTGCAAAGGGATCGCTCATTAGAACAAAACTGAAATTCAGTCCAGGGCACTTCATGGGGTCATGTGAAATATTTCACACTGCTGTTGCTGCTGCTAATTATTATTAATATTGATGTTAATATTATTATTATTGTTATTATTATTATTATTATTATTATGACTCGGATGATGATGCTGATGATGATGATGATGATGACAAGACATTTGAGGGCAATATCAAATACAGGGCTCTCAGGAGTTTCAGTGTTTATCTTCTCTTTATTTTGAATTTGCTTAAGGGAAAATAATGTTAATTTGTTCCATTAACTTATTAGATCCACGGAAGATGTATTTGGTCGTCGAAATTGACATCGTTTAGTCTGTGAATTTAACTTTCTGAGATTAATATTGCACGTGACAACGTAATCAAATTGAATCTCCTTCATCCCAAGCGGATGGAATTTAATCCAGTCAAAGTGCTCATCTATTGAAGATATCGACTCGGCTGGTGATGAAATGATTGTAAATAAACTGTCCATCTCATGCGATGGGCAAGAAATATCCCATTCCAGAATATGTAATAGCCAACCCTGCTGCTTAACTAAACATATTTTCTATTTTTAGCAACCCCTTTCGAGGAAAAACGAAAATGCATTATTGATTTTGCTGTCTGATTCAATAATCAATCAACAGCTGTACTGTAATTTTTTAAACAAATTTAATGAGCTGTTATCCAACGCTCGTTGCAGAGCCGGTAAATTTTACGTATGTAACACGCATTATCGTTTTTATGCGGTGTGCATAGACCAAGTTGTTACGGCAGACTATTTTTTTTAATGTAACTGATTCCCTTTTCTGATTCTCCTACCAGCAATCAATAAATCGTACCAGTGATTCCAAATCGTTGTTTTACCGAAAAGTGAAAGCCTGTGTGAATGACTCACACCGGGGGTGCACATTTCGCTTCTTACTTTGAAACTAACAGACCACCGTCCCATCGATCACGTGACGTATGAACTGACCTTGTCAGTAGGCCAAGACGTGTGGCATGTGCTTGTGTGATTGGTCTGTCGGAGACAGCTGCCCTTGTCAACGATTGGTCCACATAAGCCTACGCTGTTGACGACCATATATAAGTTCCACAGTCACGTATCCCGTTTGTTATCCGATTCTGCTCCTTTGTGCACCATGGCTGGTCTCACCAAACCTCATGAGTATTCCTGGAAGGACTCTAACATGGCCCTTTTCGGGTCTGATGAGGACCGGGCAGTGAAAAGCAAGTTCTACCGTAGAAGAGAGCACAGGTTTTTTGTTTTTTAACGCGTTGTGATATATGAATGGAATTTCATTGAAAATGGATTTATTCTCTGACTTTATACGATTTGTGGATTATTTTTGACAGAAATTGCCTAAGCTCTTAGTTTATCAATCAAATTCAGGCACCACAAACACCTGTCCGTATTCAAGTACAACGGCCAGTTTCGATGTAATTTTGCATTTTGAAGAGTTAGTAATATTCTGTACTGCTCTTTGATTTTTGGCATTTCTGGTGACTCATATTTTGTTTATTTTTCCTCATAATTCAGAGGATTCCGCGGAGAATGAACCCGCTTGGAAACCGGTAAAATCTATCAACTCGAACACCGTGATGGTTTGGCGTGTAAATGTGAGTCAGACAATCACCTTCCAATCTAATCATTTCCTGTGATTGTGAATGTGTATCCCTAGAACAGGCTGGAGAAATGTGCCCTGTAAATATGGTTCCATGAATGCATGAATGACGACCAGTGCCTTGAAGATAAGCTTATTGTTTTCATATTAGGGTTTCATTAAACTAGTAATATATGTTCACAACGAATCCAAATAAGTATCAAATCGTGGTTGTGAGCATAACGGCTACGGGAAGGGTGATAGCACAAAGCAAATACATGCTAGTAATCAGTAGCAAGTAATCGATAGCTCGCTGAAAGTCAAACATCTGTGTTTGTACATGCACCGGTCTCCTTCTTTCTTTTTTAGCATTTGATTATTGTCTCAAGAGAATATTGTTTGAACAGAGCCTACTCATAAACTAAACTTTTGTGTGATAATGCTGATCTGTTTAAGAATTTCCCTTACAATTAGTCACTATATACTCTCATAACTACATTAATCAATCCATTATCAACTGTTTTGAGTAGCATTGAAGGACCCTCTGACTCATCTTTCTAGACAGTACCGATCATTAACTGTCCTCAGTCGAATGACGGTCTTGTTTCAACCTGTTTCAAATTGACCGACTGTGTGTATACGAATACAAATTCCTCAACCCTAGCGAATGTCTTATAGAGGACTATTTCGTTGATCGTTCACAATGCGACAACGAGCACGTTGTCATGGTAACCGATTACAAGATCAAAAAATCGAAGGGAGTGCAGTATCAATATGTGCAAGTCACTGAAACAATTTTATTTTAAATGCGGTAGCCTGATTGGAATAAAATGCAAGCGGATTATTGATCAAATAACTGTTATGTCAATCCGTATGCTACAAACAATCGCCAGTCTCTAGCAATGCAAAGCAATTGGAACTAAGTTTACGGTTTACGGTTCAATAGAACATGGTGACAATGAGTCATCAATAAAATCTTTGTAAAATAGGAGAGCTGTGTCATTCCACACACACACACACACACACACACACACACACACACACACATACACACACCACACACACATATATATATATACCTATTCATGATAATAGACAATATTGAGCGTCCGAAGGATAATATAGTTGGGCAGTGAATAGTGTTCGCTATTGCTGTTGCTTTACACTATGCGCACTGGTTTATACATCAGATTCAGTAATAGTTCTGATTACGCAGAGGCTCGTCCGTCAGATGTACCAGGTTAGAATGAAAATCTGATTGGGAGAAGATTTTTGGTCACTAGCATACCATACATTTCATATGCTCCATGAACATGTATCCCAAACGATTTTTTTCGAGATCCGAATCATTTGATTTGAAAAGTCAACAATCCTCACTTTAATTTATTTTTCGCGGGCATTTTTGTCGTGCAGAAATTTAAACTGGAAACGGTGAAACCAGACAATCACGGTCGCTTTTTCAGTGGTGATTCCTACGTCATCCTGAAGGTGGATAAAGTCGGCAACGAGTTGGTCTATGACGTGTTCTTTTGGATCGGCAAAGATAGCACGCAAGTAAGTTTCATTGTTAACTTTTTCCCAATTTGGAGGACCCACTACTGTTTGCTGGAATTCCCAGGTTCAAATGCTTCTCGAATTTGATCCACAAACTTGAAAACTTGAACGTGATAAGTGCTGGTTTATTGTGTCCACTAAATCTCTCTCTCTCCCTCTTATTCGACTTTCACGCAATGTGAGGGGCACATTGAGTACGATGTATACTTTCCGGGATCTACTAATATCTAGCATAGAGAAACACCGATTGCCACGAAACCTCATGTCAGCAAAATTATCTTATTACAGTTCTGTTCATTCCGGTAAGATATTGCCTCATGATCTATGCGTTCCGCGGACAAAAACAGTTGGTTACATTCATGGAAGTCAAAGGAAGCTGAAACTCAGGAGTACAGTTTAATTATCATATACTTTTTGTATGACCAACTGATTACTTATCACTGACTAAGTGACCGACTAACTGACTGACTGACTGACTGACTGACTGACTGACTGACTGACTGACTGACTGGTCAAAGTAGCAAATAAACGCATCTGGTCTAATCAGTGATTATACCTCAACGATCACCCTACTGATTTTATATGGTCTCCGTGTCTTGACCGAAGTAAGCGAAAGAACTACGTCCGTTCTTTTCTTACGAACGTGATTTTGCGCCGCGAACTCCGAGACACGTACTCCTCGATTACCCATGTGAAGTCTCGAAACCGATCTCCGTCTGATATCTGAGCATTGCCTCAATTGATCCATCAAATCACTGTCACCTCATCTGGACACACTCGAGTGCATGATTTATCTGACATTGCTGAGTCATATCTTTGAACAATGCGGCTGGCAGATTTTCGCAAGGCTTTACTTCATGATGATCATGATCATGATGTGTATCGGTGCGTAGAGAGCAAAGAAAAACACGACATTTTTGCATCGATATTTTTATATTTCTTCTGTGATAAGAGAGTAATTAACAGCTTGGTTGTTTCGGACCATTTCTTCATCTGATCTGGTGTAGATGCATTTGTTGTGCAGGAATTGGTCGTTCGTACTAGATTGTGTAGTACTGACCCTGTCACCCAATCTCCCGTCTCCCTTGTGCCGCTCTCGGCGATAGCTGAGCTGATAGCTGATCTGTCTTTAACTCATCTGACTTAGACACACCCTATATAGTTTTATTTACTTATTTATTATTTGTTTATATTTTTTATCGCCGGTTCCCGAAATTTTACCAGAGTTTTGCAAACATCTTATCAGCAGCCTTACCGTTATGTCATAATGCACTTGTTACCTCTTGTCACAATAAACTGTTCGCGTGCCGATTGCACGCAACCTGTTTTAGTCCTTCTAAGGGACCATTTCCTTGTTATCTCAATTCGATTGGTGATATCTGGACCAAGTGTTGTAGCCTTATGACCGTACGGTTGACCGTGAGGTAAGTTACAAGAAGCATATTTACTTCAGGCTCATTGGATGTTATGTTGTCATAAAGTTATTTGATGATTCCTTACCATTTATTTGCTGTTTGACTTTCATGAATAAGTTTGGGGTTGACCTTGTGTGTGTGTGCTTCCTAGGCGGATTGATCACAACGTGATTGTGAATCTATTCCTTTTCTGTTCGTAAAAACAGACGGAATTTATTCAACTCACGCCTCATCTGCGTCCGATCGTCAAAGCCAACCACATGATGAAACATAGCCACATAACCCTAGCTTATAGCACCAGCTTGGCGAACTCCATATCTAACAGAATGCTTAAAGTGATGATAAACTGAGGAACATAAATGGATTATTGATCCCCGTGTTTTGTGTGTGCACTGCCAACCATATGTGTGTCTGTCTTTTCGTTATTCCCCGTCACCTGCACCATTCGTTTTTTACACTTGTGTATCTACCTACAAACGTTCTCTGCGCTCTCCGTGCACTTCAGGATGAATACGGAACGGCTGCGTACAAAACGGTTGAACTGGACAGTCTGTTGGACGACAAGGCCACCCAACATCGTGAAGTCGATGGTTTTGAGTCTGACACGTTTAAAAAGTGTTTTACTCGTTTAGAGTAAGTTCTGTAATGGGTTACGTTAGTTGCATGCCGGTCCGTTGTGCACCAATCGTCGAATTCCCCAGTTGATGGCAAAGGTGGTTGGTTCTATGGCTCACTGTTTAGGTCACTAATTTTTTGTCTACCCCCAAAGAATAATCATCATTGTATTGCACTCACGGACGGTGCAAGTAAGCTATACTGATTGCAATTCGTGCCGTACGTACTTCTCGTGACCTTGTTAATGCATCATCATCCTCAATGGGGTCTGATTCATTCAATTGAACACCCTTTCACCCAATCTGGTTTTCGTGCAAACACGCGGTACGTGAATAACTGTGTTTACGATCATCGGTTTGTGTTAGATTAGACAGTGAAATTTGTGCCAAACAGACATACACACACATACGCGCGCGCGCAGAAAGAGAAGGAGGATAGGCGCCTATCGATTAATTACGAAAATATGGATGTCGATCGATAGACCGAACCTGTGCGCTAAAGTTGGATCGATGATTACGGGCGTGCATGCTTACGCCAAGCGTGCACCGGTGCTTTTGGCCCGAATTCCACTCTCACTCCAGCTTGGCCCCACACGACACCGGGGTATGAACGAATCGTCATAACTAGGGAAATTTTCTTTGCTGGCAACTTAGTTTTCTTCACCGTTCCTGTTTTTTATGTCTGTTCTGGAAACATTTTTCTCACCTAAGTGTGTGACCTAGTACCCATCATAAGTGGATTCAAGTGGTCTAACTGGTTTACATCAAGAATGTCCATCTGAACTTCATCTGCGTGTTGTAATAGTGTGTATGCATTTCTGGAAATCTTAGCTCATTGGCTTCACGCTGCCCATTGGAGTGTAACTGGTGGTAATGATTGTCTGTAATTTTCATCTATCTCAACGGAGACAAAACCGAGTGAAATTAAATTCAGGTGAAAAACGTCCACATCCCGGTTCACAACCATAATTTCTCTTTCATCGGTCACTATCATGCTAATAAGCCCTCGGGATCGACTAGCTCATTCACTAGGGGACGGCCGCGCAGTAACTGCGCCTCCGCGACTGCCTGTCCGAACTGTCGCCGACCCATAGTACGATCGAGCTGTAGACCGGAAAGTGTGATATGCTTCGCGGTTCTTTAAAGTGTTGAGAATAATCAATTTCAAGAAAAAAATATATATGTTAAAGCATCCGAAAGCGCCGGGATAGGAATTAAAAGAACACTGTGTACATTAATTTCTCTTTCAGATAACGGAGCGCATTCCCGTTTTTCGGAACAGGGCTGTTGTTAAGTAATGTCTCTTGTTTGTTTGATGTGCGTGTGTGTTTCTCCTTACGTGTTTTCATTACTTGTTCACAGTAAAAGTGAGTTCCTTTTTACGGACATTCAGTGTTAGACGATTTTAATTTTACGCTTGACAGTTAATAAACAGGTTTACCATTTTCATCGTTTGTTCAAACCTAACGCACATGTTTCTATCCTCTAACGTCTGTTCCTCTATGGTAATTGACATTGTAGGTTCATTAGATAGCATGAAGAAGACTCTACCATCTTTATCATTATTATACGTAGTATTAACAGTGTTATAAAACCACAAGACTTGTGGCAGATTGCGGAGAATCGTTCATTGGCAGAACAACATGGGTAGGAGATTGCGCAGAACGAAACACGTTACCAACAAAGTTGGTTATCAGATTCATAAAAGGCTTTTGATAACTGGTAAAACAGTTCGACCATCATTTCGCTTCTCCTTTGGTACCAGTGGTAAGTCCCAGATGCCACAAGAGTCCCATGACCGCCTAATCATGCCTCACTAAAAATACTGCTTACTAATATGAGTAGCATCTGACTACAGTATTATTAGTAATAGTAGCACTAGTTGGCTTTGCAAAATTCACCCGTACAAATAATATGCTGGTTAGTGACCTAAATCATAGATGGACATTAGTTCACCCCCAGCCCCCACTTCCAGCTTCTTCTGTCGGCCACCTGCGGATTGTACATACGAACGCATCATTTGCAAACCTTATGGTACTAATCCAGGGGCGTTTTTCAGCCCATATCGACAAATCTAGTTCGATCTGTGGCAATGGACTTTAGTAAATTCCAACAAAATTTATCCCACTCAGACTGCTTAATTCATCTCATACGTTATTTATGGTAGTATTCAGTTTTCTTAAAAATATACCTGCACTATCGATTAAGAGCAGATCTACGTTAGTAGTTTAGGCCCAAATGAATGGACAAGGACGAGGACATGGATTTATGATAGAGAAAATCGCTTCGCACAAGTTTACTGATGAATAAATTGTAATCTTTGGTTCCGACAAGAAATTGGTTTGCGTCTGAATACGGTATACTCCAGTGCACTCTCCTCCAACTCTGAACAATACTCTGTCAAATGCCTGTCAAGCTTGGTAGAAAATACCTTGTTGTTCACAAAAGCTCCAAGATGAAACATTTTGAATTTCCAATTCATCTCATTCAATCGGGACGTGAAGAGCAGCACTGTGACAACAAATGTGATCCTGGTCACATATCGCGTCGTCATTTATCGACATTCACGGGTCTGCTTGCTTATAAAATGCACAGTCTCATCCAGTTTTTTCACTGATATATTTTCGTATATGTAGATGAGGGTGGGGTGGGTAGTTCATGGTATACAGATTAATTGGAGAGTGAATTGGAAAGCTCGGAATTCATGTACAGTTGCTTCGATATGATCGGGTCTCGTTAAGTACGTGAATCCATCGATCGAACTGACAATTAACCCCGAGACTTCATAAGTAGAACACACACATATCATCCACTATATCCCCAAGCAGCTGACCAAATTGCTTTCCTCTTTGTCTCTGGATTCATGTCTCCATTAGGAACACTCCGATATAAACTAATTGTTACCATAGTCTATACTATATGCATGTACACCGTGTTGGATGGTTTTCTAGTAACTAACCTTTCCATCACCGTTTTCTAACATTTCTTTTGCGCATCAGAAAACTGGACGGTGGCTACGAGTCCGGTTTCAACAAAGTCAAACCGGAGGAGTTCAAGAAACGCTTGCGTGTGTTCCACGGCGTGGATATCAACCATATTGAATTGTCCGAAGTGTCTTTCTCTCGCAAATCGCTCAACTCGGATGATGTGTTCATTCTTGATTTGGGCACCAAAATGTACCAATGGAATGGGAAGAATGCAAGCAAAGACGAACGTTTCCGAGTAAGTATCATCATTTCGACCAAGTGGTGGTGGTAACCTGTGATCTGCTCTTGACAATCGTACTTGAAATGGTTCTCGTGCTTTGCACGTCAGCATGGGCTTTCTCTCTCTCTGTCTCTCTAGCGTTTCGTTCGTTTTGTTTGTCATATACCCAAGCCACTTTATCGATTGTAATTTGTTATTCATTTTCATGTGAGAACCTTCTTCCTTAAACCTTGACACGCGTGTATACTAATCAGAGGACGCACATACTGTCCGGTAACTAGTGAGCGAACAGAGGAATATTGTAGATAAGGATGTATCCTGGGCTGTCGAGACCCCTCCACTCAGCACAACACCTCGGAACGTTCGGAAGCGAAGTAATGAGCTCAGAGAACACTTCATCTTGGGGTTGTAAATATGTTTGGGGTATGAAAGTCATTCTCTTTCCGTGCATACGATTACTCTGCTGGGCAACTAACGGTAATTTTCATTTGAACCTTCCATTTTCATGTTTGGGTACGAACTTCGGCACAAAAATTGTACTTGTCTTGAATCGGTCATACATATATTTGGATATGCTCCTCTGATAAAAATGTAGTCATTGAAAACCTAGCTGTGTGTGTGATTGTTTGTAGCGTTAAAAGTTACTGTATGGATCAAAAGTGAATGGGAGAAAAATCACACTGGAAATCGCTTGGTGTAATCATGAAAAATAAGGTGCAATGTTTTCTCTGGTTATCCAGCCTTAACTCATGGATTTTATCCGTCACTCGTGGGTTTTCGCGATGGTATCAATTCACTTAGTGAGTTGCACGACTGACATACCCCAGCCCTCAAGTAGTCAATT